ATATAGAATAAATATTTTTTTAAACGGGGGGGGGGTAGTCTAGACAATTACTATATATACTTTATTACTATACATATTAGTATAATTTTTACATATACATACTACATACAGTAATGTTTAGATTGTATTTATATATTTTTAAAGAAATTAATACTTTTATTCAGCAAGTTTGCATTTGATTGATCAAAAGTGACAGTCAAGACTTTTACATTGGTACAAAAAAATCTATTTCAAATAAATGCTGTTGTTTTTAACATCTATTTATCATGGTTTCCAAAACAATATTAAGTACCACAGCTGTTTTCAACCTTTATAATAAGAAATGTTCCTTAAGAAGCAAATTGGCATATTCAAATAATTTGTGAAGGACACTAAGTAATAGCTGCTGAAAATTCAGCTTTGGCATCACAGGAATAAACAACAAGAGTTATATTTAAATTGTAATAATTTACTGTTTTTGCTATTTTATAAAATAAACGAAGCCTTCAACCATAAGAGACTCACTCACTCTTTTAACGTGGATGCGCTCAGCTTTAGATTTGGTAAAGCAAAGGCGAAGAGAGTACACCAGTAGAGCAGGAATACGCAAAAGCTCCATGACCGTTCCGATCAGACTGGACGTGATCACGTAGTTCACAAAAAAAGCTCCGTTATCAGGCAAAAACACACATCTGAGGGAAAACAAAGTGGTTGTAGGTCTCAACAAATTATGCATCTAAATAAATTAACCAACATCTGTAGATTTCAGCAACAGTGAAAACTTACTGAAACTTTACATCTGTTTCATCCAGAAAGTGGATGTCAAAGAGCCATCTGAAGAACAAATCCAAGCTGGGGAGCAGACAAGAAGATATATAATGTATAATACTGTACATTATATATACAGTGGCTAAGTATGTATGATGTCAGTTCTCCTCACAGGTGTAGTTCATCGCATTAACTAAGAAAATGTTCCACTGATGTTTACCAGCCACAAAGTGTCTGGATACTTATTGATAGCCTATTTCTATTGTTTTATGCTGTGTGAGTTAAAACATATGCTTGCTATAAATTCAACATGTTTTTAAAATGAGGTTCATAAAAAATGATTTTTCTATTATAGACATGTTTTTAGGTTTAGGTTTAGTTGATGTATCTGTCTGGGGATTGTAAAAAAGAAAATAGCCGCATTAAAAGACTACAAAAAAAAAATATATATATATTGACAAAAGTAGGACATCCTTGTTTATCATTGACCCACATACATATAGTACTGTATATAAAGGAAAATTTTATTCTGAGACAAAATGACGTTTCACAAAACTGTTTATTATATTTTTATATGAAAAGCATTAAGAGCTTTTATTGACATGTTATTACAGTGTATAATTAAAGTATTTCAGATTATAGGATGTTTACCTGGATAGACCCAGTGATGGTAGAATGATTACCATGAAGACAAGCAGTAGAAAGCATTTATGCATGGTGACCTGATTCTCATCGGACCTGAAAGAGACACACATTACAAGACAATTCTAATGATTACAACTGAACCAAACAACTAGAATAAATATATTAAATATACATATTTTACTATTCCTTTCCATTTTCACACCAGTTTTTCTTCTAGACAGACTGTTTGTGGTTAAAGTCAACATAAAACCGTGTTGGCAACCCAATTAAGTGACGTATTTCATAGTAAAAAAAGGGAAATGTATTAATACCAAAATTTGATTTTATGTTGACTTGTGTATATTAATCATCAGTGTTTCCACTGTAAATACAACAGATACGCAAGTGCTGCAAGTTCTCTGCAGTTGCGCAATATACATGAGGGTTTGAGCCACATGAACTATAATGTGACTCTGTGAAAGACGCCACCAGTGTGCATATGATTATTCCCTTGTTGTGATCACTATGACAACAAGCCAGGAGAGGCAAGCAGAGAGCGCAAGAGAGAGGGACACCATGTAAACGTGTTGTGCATAGGTGGGTGGGAGACTGGGTTGGGGGCTGTACTGCAGTTATGCAATATGTTTGTGTGCTGATATGAACATGTTTATGCAATAGATTTCAGCCGCACTGCAAATACAACTACCAACAGCACAAACTTACACTGGTCATTGGGACACCATATTTCTGCTAAACATCATATGACTGTGTATGTGTATGATTGTGGTTTGTATAGGTTGATTAAAGGGATCATTCACCCAAAAATGAAAATTCTATCATCATTTACTTACAATCAAGCGGTTCCAAACCTGTATGATTTATTTTGATGCTTAAATGTCTTTTTTTCCATACTGTGGAAGTCAATGTGAACCAAAACATTCTTCTTTTCTGTTTAGCAGAAGAAAGAAATGCATCTAGGCTTGGAATGACATTAGGGTGAGTAAATAATGACAGAATTTTCATTTTAATGAACAATCCCTTAAATGTATGTGTGTATGTGTATCCCTTTAATACAGGGCTGTCCAAACTTGGTCCTGGAGCGCTGGTGTCCTGCAGAGTTTAGCTCCAACCCTAATTAAACACACCTGAACCAGCGAATCAAGCTCTTACTAGGCATAGAAACTTCCAGGCAGGTGTGCTGAAGCAAGTTGGAGCTAAACTCTGCAGGACACCGGCCCTCCAGGACCGAGTTTGGACAGCCCTGCTTTAATAAATGTGTATGTGTGAGGAATGTTGGGACAGCATTAGGAAGGGGAGAAAGGAATTTAGGCCTAAGCTGCTTCATGAATTTATTATTTGTGTGTGTGTGCAATGTTCATAGTTATGAATCAAGCAACACCTTCCCCAAATTCTCATTAACACAATGCAAGAAAATCACACGATTTTAATGTAAACAATAATATATTTCTTAACTTAAAAGGTATATCATGCATTTTGGTAGTATTTGTACTGCCTTTAATTTATGTCAATTTAAATGTAAAACTATATTAAAGAGAAAATATGAAATATAAAAAAATGAGTATTTTAAGTAAACTCTTTTTAACATTCTAAAAACCCTAAAAAGAAAAATTCCTGAAAAATGTATCACAGTTTCCACAAAAATATTAAGTTGCAGAAGAGTTTGCTGATAACAATAGGATAAGAATAAGAAATGTTTCTTGAGCACCAAATCATCATGATTTCTGAAGGATCATGTAACACTGAAGACTGAAGTAATAGCTGCTGAAAATTCAGCTTTGCCCTCACAGGAAAAAATTACATTTTAAAATATATTAACAACAATATTTTAAGAATATTTATTTTTATTTTTACTGTATCTTGATCAAATAAATGCAGCATTTGTGAGTATAAGAGACTTCTTTAAAATAAATAAATAAATAAAATCTTACCAAACCCAAGTTTTCAAATGGTATTGTATAATCCAGATGCATTATGGCAATCAAAATCATGTTGTTTTAACAGACAACAGGACAATTTTTATTGTGTTAATAACACAATTATTGAATTTTAATAATTATATTTACAATTTTAATCAGTGCAAATCCGTCACTTTAATGTATAATTGAGTAAAAAGACCTCCCTGTCATAGTTCTCTCACATTTATACACAGAACAAAAGAGTTTAAAATCAGATGGTGGAAACAGCATCATACCTGGTCCAGTGGTACTCAAAGAAAGATGAATAGTACACAATGAAGGGCAGGAGAATGGAAAAGGCCCACAGGAGCAGGGTGGGGAAGAACTGGGTAATTACTGGGTTCTAGACAGTAGAAGACAGTAAAAGATCGAATTCAAAACATTCAACTTCCGAAAACAACACAAAAAAGCACTTTCAGTTTTATTTTACATTCTAATGTGGCGTAATACAGCAGGACAGTTATAAAACTGCTTTGATGGTCACTGACCCTTAAGCTTTCAACTGGCCGAGTGACGTTGAACTTGTCCATAGTGTTTACGATGATAGCAGGGGTTGTGAGAAAGAAGAGCAAGAAGAAAAGCAGAATGTTGAGCAGGACGCAGCGGAGCCACCAGCGAGAACCACACACTGACAGATTTTCCCTGGACGAACACAGGTACCAATCAACGCAAGGTCTTAACTACAGTTACAGAACAGACAGTGTGTGCTCTCCGAGAATACGTGGGATGTTCAGCTACTATCACATAAATAGGAAGAGAAAAAAACCGCAGCCTAAGGTGGTTAGCTGGTCTCTAAAACTGACCAAACTGGTGTTCAGCTGGTTTAGCTAGTCTGCAATTTGGTCTTCCAGCTCAAAAGTGCCCCAAATCCTTCTAAAACCAGCAAAAGTGTTGGAAATCCCTCTGAAACAAGCTTTTTTATTTATTTATTTTTTTAACAGGGACAGAACATTGGTGACTAAGGGAAAGTTTCTACTCTTATCCCTGTAAAGCCTGACATACAATATGAAATAATAGTCCAAAAATATATATATTTTAAAAGGAATCTAAAAAAATGTTTTTGAGTATCATATTTTATACATCAGGCTTTTACAGCTCATATAGTATGATACAGGAAAATATGAATCTCAGGGAGAAAAAAAAAACACCTACGTTTTATTCAGAGGGCCAAATGGAGCAAAAACATGAAATTTGATGCAGTTGCTGATATTTATAAGGTCACAAAGCAATATGAAATTCTGACAGCTTATCATTTAAATCAATCAATTCGACCTGAATTTTTAGAATTCTACTAAAAGACCTTTTACTCATAAAAGCATAAAAAAACAGC